GGCGACGAGGACGAGGACGAGGACGGCGACGATGGCGACGAGGACGGCGGCGAGGGCGACGGCGACGGCAACGCCGACGTCAAAGCCGACGCCGACGCCGGCGCCGACGGCGGCGACGGCGGCGACGACGCAGACGGCGGCGACGACGGCGACGGCGACGACGGCGGCGACGACGGGGACGGCGACGGCGGCGACGACGACGACGACGACCACCACCACCACCACCATCTCCACCACCGCTACAATCTCCACCGTCCTCGCCATCACGACCGCCACGGACGCCACGACAGCCACGATGTTACTGCCCCCTGACAGGTGCCACCCTTGCGGTGGGAGCCTGGCCTGGCCGGCGATGGCTCCTACGCCCAAGGCTCCCGCCCAAAAATCGCCCCGTATCGAGGCTGAGCTGATCGGCCTTAGGAAGTTCGAATGTGCTGTAGCAGTAGCGGCACCGATAACTGCAAACCACGCCGCCGTGGGTCCTGCCAAATGAACAGTCGCCACTTTCGTGCGCTCCTGGGAGCGACGCTGCAGGGCCTGCTGGCTTTCCTGGGTGCGGCCAACGTTGCAACTGTCACCCGTGGAGGGATCTATAAGGAAACGAACTCTATACACCGACGTTTTTTCCGACCCTGCGCTGAAATTCGCACAAGAACGCGGATCCTGGTGTATACGGGATCCTGGTGTATACATTTTTCGCTGTTCCCCCAGGAAAACGGGGAAACAAAGTATACATCACACCACCCCGGCGTCGTCCCCGACCCTCAAAAAAGTCCTGGGATTGAAAAACCGCCCGCCACTGGTAATGCATATGCTCCAGTTCCCAAACCTGGCAGCACGCTGCCCCGCGCACATCCAAACGACAGCCTCCGCACAGAGTGTGGTTTTGCATGCCCCCCCCCGTTAAAACGTCCGTGACGGGGGGCGAGGAGGAGGAGGAGGAGGAGGAGGAGGAGGAGGAGGAGGAGGAGGAGGAGGAGGGGGCAGGCCCCCCGTGGGAGGTCCTGGCGACGTGGGCGGGCCCCGACGGGGGGGGGGAGGGCCCTGGGCGCTGGACGACGACGACTGCGACGACGAGGACGAGGACGAGGACGACGACGAGGACGAGGACGGGGACAACGACGACGACACCGACGACTAGGACCACGCCGACGCCGACGCCGACGCCGACGACGACGACGACTAGAACGACTACGACGACGGCACCTCATGAAGGTCTCCGGAAGTCACTGGAGGCTTCAGGATGTATCCAGAGGCCTCTGGAAGCGTCTGGAGGCCCATCGAGGCCCTCGGAAACGACGACGACGGCGAGGAGGAGGACGAGGACGAGAACGGCGAACACGACAAGACCGACAACGACGACTACGCCTACGACGACGACGCCGCCGATGACGACGACGCCGACGACGACGACGACGCCGCCGACGACGACGACGCCGACGACGACGACGATAAGACGACGATGAGGATAAGACGACGATGAGGAAAAGGGCCAGGACGACGAAGACGACAAGGACGGGGACAAGGGCAAGGACGGTCCGAGGACGAGACAAGAACGACGACGACGACGACGACAGCGACGAGGACGGCGACGAGGACGAGGACAAGGACGGCCGCCTGTGAAGATCTCCATTGGTCTCCAGGCCCTCGGAGACGACGACGACGATGACAACGACGATGACGATGACAACAACAACAACGACGACAACAACATTCATTTTAAACATGTTCGCTCCTATTTGCTCACGTGCCAGTCAATACGTATATCCCAAACCCTCGGTACCCGCCCTCGTCGTCTTCGATCGTACCCCCCTGGAGGTACATCTTCCTTACCTGCCACGTGTATTTAAAGCAGCCCCTTAAACAAGGGAAGAGAGGACGGGTGAAAGGGGGAGTGAGAAGAATGGAGCACGAGACAAATTAGCAGGAGGGGGGCAAGGAGCAGAAACGACGACAACGACGACGACGACAACGATGGCGGCGGTGGCGACGGCGACAACGACAACGACGACGACGACGACGACGCCGACGACGACGACGACGGCGGCGACGACGACTACAATTGGGACTGCGACTACGACTATGACGACGACTACGACTACGACGACGACGACGTCGACGACGACGAGAACGACGACAACGACGACAACGATAACGACGACGACGACGATGACGACGACGGCCGCCACTGCAAGTCTCTGAAGACGTCTGCAAGCCCTTCGAAGCCCTCGGAAACGATGAGGACGACGAGAAGGACGAGGACGAGGACGGGGACGACGACAACGACGACGACGATGACGACGACAACGATGCCGACGCCGACGCCAACGCCAACGCCGACGCCGACGCCGACGCCGACGCCGACGCCGACACCGACGACGCCGACGCCGACGACGAAGACGATGACGACGACGTCGACGACGACAATAACGTCGACGACGACGGCGACGACGACGACGACGACGGCGCCGACGACGATGAGGACGAGGGCTAGGACGACGAAGACGACGAGGACGAAGACGATTAGAACGACGACGAGGACGACGACGAGGACGACGTCGACGACGACGACGACGACGACGGCCGCCTCTGGAAGCGTCTGTAGGCTATCCGATGCCTGTCAACACCACACCATGCTCGTGAGCACTGCGCCATAGCTTTTGCAAAGCTGGCCGGCCCTCACCGTCCTCCCCGAACGCTCGTCACCGTGACGGGCAGGGGGGGGGGATCGACCTTCCTGTCACGGATGTCACGAGATCCACGAATGAGAAATATCACGTCAAAGGGTGCAAGCAAGGCAAAGACGAAGATCCGTGGGCGTCCAGCATACAACCGGCAACAAAGGTGCCATTGGAGCTGGCTCACGGAACCTGCTGTGGACAGGCCGAAGAGACAAGGGTGCAAACGGCACCCTTGGACATCCACCGCATCGACGATCGACTGTAGACCCTGCCCCGCTGGCCCCTTGCAACAGCTGACGTCCTGAGTGCTTCCCCGATGCTGGCCGCAGGATCCCCTGCGGCCCCGGCGCGGCAGCAAGAGCTGCCGAGGGCGGGCCCCCCCAGAGGGCCTCCGGGAGGCCACGAGGCGGCCAACGCGTGACCCAGAGTGGCCCCGGATCGCTCCAGAGGCAGGCTCTTAGCACATGAGCCCGATGTGATAAAACGAGACAGCCCCGGCCAGAAGTGTTCTAAGAACCTTTCGTGGAAACCGCAAACGGTTCTTGGAACACGCTCTGGCAGGCCGCCAGGCACGCCAGGACGCCTCGCCACTGCTTGACGGTGCGGGCCGACCGACCCAGCGGCTCCGGTTTGGACGCCCGAAATGGGCACGGAAGAAATGGGCACAATGCCCAACAGCAAATGTTGTCCCAAACCAACAGCGGCCGCTGTTGGGCAGGCGGCCTTCTGTCTCGAATGGACACAGGCCGCGGCGGCGTGGACAGCGAATCCGGTCCAACATGGACAGGAACTGCTGTTGGGCATTGTACCCATTCTTTCCGTGCCCATCTCGGGCGTCCAGATCTTAGCAACAGAAAAAAGAAGATGCATAAGCACGAACTGCCGGAGGTCCGCGCGGATGTCTTGGGTCTGCGCTGGACCCCTCTCCCTGCTCCACACGCCAGAGAGGGGGGCCCAGCGCCGATCCAAGAAGTCCGCGCGGACGACAGAAAGTCTATGCTTATGCCGATTTGTCTTCCCCGGCACGAGGCGGCGCACGCATGACCCAACATGGCCCCTAACACGCACCCGATGCAGCCCTTAAGAGGCACCCAAGATGGCCCGAGAGGACCCCAGACGGCTCCTGACACAGTCGCGGGCCACCCCGTGACGGCTGCAAGACGCCCCAAGACCACCCAAGGAGGGCCCAGGGAGCCCGGAGACAGCCCAGGAGGGCTCCGAGGCGGCCGAAGATGACCTCGATGCGGCCCAAGCGGCTTCCGAGGCGCCCTAAGAGAGCTTGAAACGGAGGCTGGGGAGGCCTCCAAGATCCAGCACCTAGCGATGCTCGTTATATGGTTGACAAAACTCTGAACACTCGTTGTTCGGGCGTCATGCAGCCCAAGACGCTTCAAAAGGCCCCAAATATCGCCCAAGACTGCCCAGCAGACCCCCACACGGAGGGCCGAAGACGGACCCCAGAAGGAGGAGAGAGGAGGAGGGAGGGAGAAGGGAGAAGGAAGTGAGGAGGGCAAGGAGGAGAAAGGGAGTCAGGAGGGAGGGAGGAGGAGGAGGGAGATGAGAAAGGGAAGGAGGAGGACGAAGGGAGGGAGGAAAGAGGCAGGAGGGAGGAGGGAGGGGAGGGAAGGAGGGAGGGAGGGAGGGAGGGCGGGAGGAGAGAGGAGGAGGAGGAGGAGGAGGAGGAGGAGGAGGAGGAGGAGGAGGAGGCGGAGGGAGGAAGAAAGGGAAAAAGGGAGGAGGAGAGGAGGGAGGGAGAAGCGAGAAGGGAGCGAGGGAGAAAGAAAGGGAAAAAGGGAGGAGGAGAGGAGGGAGGGAGAAGCGAGAAGGGAGCGAGGGAGAAAGAGAGAGAGAGAGAGAGAGAGAGAAAAAAAAGAGAGATAGCGAAGGCGCCAACCGGATACTAGGACACTGCTCTGAGGCGGACCCAAGAAGTAGGATGAAGTATCCAGGATTATCCCAAAGGGACCACGTCCCAGGCCCCTGGAGTGTCGAAGTACACGGACCTTCGCACATCCACAAGAAGAAGTATGCTTTACGGCAAGAGGGGACAAAAAACGAAGGGCGGAGAAGAGCGAATCAAATCGAGCATCTGGGCAAGAGAAGGATGCACGGATGACTCATACGTCTCAATGAAACGACCAGGTTTGGCGAGGAGAGTTCAAAAGCAGAGATGCTGGCAAGGTGTCCAACGCCGTCGGCATGACAAAGACCGTACGCGAGCCAAGAAAGACGCGTGCAATAATGAAGTGGACGCTCAGTGGGACAAGCTCAGTGAGGCAAGCTGGCTATGTAGGCTAGCAGACCTGAGAGGAGCCTTTGATTGCTTTTCCGAATCTCCTCACACGAAGCCGCACCAATTGACTCTGTCCCTGCCTGGTCTTCAGCAACAGGCGCCCACTTCTCTGGCAAATGGTGGGCCGCAGCAACGGGCATTCCAGGGTGCCTCGGTTCGCGCATGTCCTGGTCCGTCCCAGGATCCGGCGATCGATAACTGCTGCTGGCGGTGGAACCTGTCGCCTGATGCGGACTGGGTGGAACCTACTGGTGTACACGCCCACAGGCTGACGGGCTAGCGTCTAAAAAAAAAGAGCTTGCCGCTTCAACTGGCTCGGTTGCGCATCTCCAGCAACAGACGGTTCCCCCGGGATTGGTGGGCCGCACCGGAGAATGAAAAAAACGGGAGGAAGCTGGCCTGACCTTGCTTCCTGGAAGGACAAAAAGCCCTGGCGAACGCTAACGGCACAAGGATGAGGAGCGGAAAGAAGAAGAAGAAGAAGAGAGGAAGAAGGAGGAAGAAGGAGGAAGAAGGAGGAAGAATAATAATAAGAAGAAGACGAAGAACAAACGGGCCCTGGGGAAGCGGGTTCTGGACCCCGGGGCCTTCTCTCGGGACCAGCTCTTCGTTCGGGTTGACCCAAAAGGGGTTCCAACGACAAGGGGGTGGTGCAACAGATTTGTGGGGTTGCAGTACATCTGGGGCGTGCAATAATACTTTCCGGGACGCAGGTGTCTTGCTGGATCTTCGCGTGCAATGCATTCGTAGCTGCAGTACAGTGCAACACAATCCTCCGGCGCAACACGTTTGCAATAATTACAATCCCAGACCCCCGACGTAATGATTTTTTCATTACGTCGACCCTAGGGGTCCCGACCCTTTCCCCAGGACCGGCTTTGCATCCTGAGTCGTTTTTTGACGCTCCCGAGGCCCGGTGAGGGCCCCCCGAGGCCGAAAATTAGGAAAAACCTCCCGTCGTGATTTTTTCATCACTTGAGGGGGTCTGGGATTGCCCCAAATCTATTGCACCACACCCTTGCAGCTGGACACCCTCTTGGGTCGATTCGTCCCGGGTCGTTCCCGGCCGGCCGCCGGGCCCGTGGAGGGCGCCGGAAGGCCGGAGAGAAGCGACCACCTCTCCAGGACCCGCTCTCCTCGGGAGCCGCTCCCTCGCGGCGGCGGCAGCAGTTGGCGGCGCGCACAAGATTGGAGGGAGGGGGGAAGGCTTCTTAGAAGGAGGCTGCTTCTCAGAAGGCGCCGGCCTTGCATCTGCAGATGAGGCCCACGCCTTCCAAGAAGCAGGGGTGCTTATGAGAAGCCCTCCCCCCTCCCCCCACCCCCCTCTGCGCGTGGCTGAAGCAGCAGGGCCAGAACCAGGAGGGTGCGGCAAGTCCCTGCCTGCACGGCGAGGGCCCGGGGTCCTGCCACGGCGCGAGCCGCTCAGCCCCGAACGATCCCCGCTGCTGGGCCCCCCGGCGGCTGTGGATGCCACCCGTAGCTTGGAGGGAGCGAAGCCGGCAGAAGCAGAAGCTGTCGGAGCTCCGCGCGGAGGTCTTGGCGGAGCGCCGAATGCTCATGCTTATGCCATTTCTCCCCCCCCGAGGCTGAGCCCCAAGAAGCTGTCGACTCCATCCTTCGTGTGGATTTCCACAGCCTTGGCTTTCGGGCCCCGGGGGCCGAAAGGAGACCCTGGAGGGCGCTAAGTGCTGCACTCTCGCCAGCATCGCTGCTGCGACAGGGCGGTGCGATCCCGCCGATAGGAGGACGTGGCGGAGAAGGAGGAGAAGGAGGAGGAGGAGGAGGAGGAGGCGGCAGGGCATAAAGAAGAAATGGAGAACGAGAAAGGGGAGGAGGATGAGGAGGAGGAGGATGAGGAGGAGAGGAGAGGAGAGGAGAGGAGGAGAGAGGAGAGGAGAGGAGAGGAGAGGAGAGGAGGAGGAGGAGGAGGAGGAGGAGGAGGAGGAGGGAGGAGGGAGGAGAGGAGGGGAGGAGGAGGAGGAGGAGGAGGAGGAGGAGGAGGAGGAGGAGGAGGAGGAGGAGGAGGAGGGAGGAGGAGCGAGGAGGAGGAGGAGGAGGAGGAGGAGGAGGAGGAGGAGGAGGAGGAGGAGGAGGAGGAGGAGGAGGAGAGGAAGAGGCGGAGGAGAAGGAGAAAGAGGCGGGGGAGGAGGTGGAGAAAGGGCAGGAAAAGGAGGAGGAGGATGAGGAGCAAAGGGGGGAGGAGGAGCAGGAGGAGGACGCGATGAAGGCAGGGGATGAGGCCAGCTGCGCTGGACAGCCGCAGAGACCGCTAGCGGCAGCGGCCACCCGCGCCCCTGGCCGGAGGGTCAGCCAGCTGCAGCCGCGGTCCATGAGCGGCTCGCCAGGGGGCCCCTCGCTTGGCGGGCGAGGCGGCCAGCCACGACTCGGCGGCGAGCGAGGGGGGCAATGAGCCGACCTACGCGCAGCCAGCAGTGTACACTGAAGGGGCCCCAGGACGCGCAAATAAATACACACAAATAAAAGGTTGCCCCATACTTTCTAGGCTTTCGTCTTCCCCCCACCTCCCACATTTTCCCATATTCTCTGGGGAATCGACGACTCATTGTGTCTGTGTGTTTTTCCCCTTCCTGATACATGCACGCTTGGAGCCTCGACAGGCGTGGCTGCGCGCCGGCGACGGACACGCCGCCCCCCGCCAGCGGCGCCGGCCTGCACCGCCCGCCGCCCTCGCGCGCCGCCCTCCCCCGCCCCCGCCGCCGTCCGCCGCCCTCGTCTCGGCGCCGAGCGAGGGGGCGAAGGAGAAGGCCTTCTCTCGGCTATACGTAAGAGTGACCATGGGTAAGAGTGACCTTTGGTGCGCGGCTTTTTGGGGGCCGCGGGGGGACCACACCTGGGCGCGCAAGCGGCTGCCGCTGCTTCGTTCTCAACCATCTGGGGACCCGTCTGTGCCCGCACCAGAAGTCACTCCGGCGAAGGGTCACTCTTACGTCTAGTCGATTCTCAGAGAAGGCCGCGGGGCTTCTAAGAAGCCCTCGCGCCTTCTGAGGGGTTTCCTGCGTCTTCGGGGAAGGCTCCGAAAGCTTCTCGGAAGGCCGGGGGACTTCCGAGCCTTCTGAGAAGGCCCGCCCCTTCCCGCTTGCCCCCTAGGCTCGCCGCCGAACAACGAGGACAGCGCAACCCACCCCCACCCCCCGCCAGGGCCCCCTTGGGTCTCCTGGGGGCCAAGAGCCACCCCCTGGATCACCAGGTCCAGAGTGGGGGTCCTTGCTGGGGGTGGGGGTGGGCTGCGCTGTCCTAACACAACCCATTCGCTTGCTAATGGGGGCCAGACGTCTGGGGGCCAGGATCAGCGAAGGGCAAGCCAGTGGAAAAATAAGCTCGGCGAAAAAAGCTGGCCCAGGCGAAGCATGTCCAAAGGGATCCCAGATGGCAGAAAAATAAACGAAAACATGTTGTGGACCAGACACAGCCCCTGAGAAAAGAAAATCCACGGAATTGAGCTCCCCTTTGCCTCACCTGCGAAAGGCTGACCCCATAAGCATTAAGTCGGGCGTGTCCTCCTACAGGGGGATTTCGGACGAAATATTTCAAAAATAACCACCCCAAAATAATCAGAAATGCTCCAAGAATCGCCCCGAGACTATTTGTAGACTATTTTTGAATATTCCTCCTGTAGAGTTGTGGATGCCATGACAACGGACACTCTAACAGTCCTACCCTTGAATTAAAGATGTGTGCTTAAACGTGTAAAACATGTTCAAAACATGATTCAGGCATGTTTTCTCTTTTCAAATCTAAAGCATCGTTTAGACATCTGTTGGAGATCTGGAAACTATCTGGCAGCACGCCTCCTCTCCATTGCTCGTCCTCCACGACCGCAGGGGGACAGGCCCGACTTCACATGAGCAGGCGAAGGACGGCTCGGCGGCGCCGCGGGGGGAAGCGAGCGAGGGCAGGCCCTCTCCGGAGGCGGATGGGGCCTCCCGCGGGCCCGCCCGCCCTCCGGGAGGTGCCCTGCGGCTTCGGGGAGGGCTCGCCAAAGCTTCTCGACAGGCCGGAGGCCCTCTGGAAGGAAGGGGCCCCGGGGACGCACACAAAAGTACACACGCAAAGCACAGGATTCCCCGTAGTTTCCCAGATTTGCTGAGTTTCTGTCTTCCCCCCCACTGCCCATTTTGTCCCATCTTTCCCTGGGAGTGGACGATTAATTGTGTCTGTGTGTTTTTCCCCCCCTGATTCTGAGCCTCCTGAGAAGGCCCACCCCCTCTGCTTTCCCCCTCAGGCCGAGTCGCCGAACAACTGGGGAGCCGGGTTCCGAACCCCCTCTGGGGGAACCCATCGTATCGACGATCTCTTTGGGGGGATGTCGAGTCCGACGGGTCCCCCAGGGGGGTAAGGGCAACAGCTCCCCAGTGCGTGGCTGGTCTGAATCAGTGGCACAACAAAAGAGTAGCACAACGCCAGCCCCAGCACCCCACCACGCTTCTCGAGCGCTAAATACCCAGAATCCTCTCCGAAACAAAGGGCGCTCCTTTCTCCATCTGGGAATTTCGCGGCAGATTGTGTTCCGATCGGCGGAACACAGTCTACCCGACGTGGGGTGCTCGGGGGGGGGCTAGTAAAAAAGGTAGTCCAGCTGGCCTGGTCGGTCTGCTAATCAGTCCGGACAGCGCCAGTTGAACTTGTGCGGCGGGTCGGACTCAACACCGCCGAAGCCTCCGTCCGGGGTCAGGCGCTCGAGAACTGCTGCTGGAGAACGAACCAACCACTTGAAGCGGGCGGCCAGCTGGGTGAAATACTGCTGGCAACGCCCACTGGCTCGACTGCTCGCGTGCGCAAGAGTCGGCGACACGCAAGAGCGAGCCTGGGTAAGAGTAACCTTTGGTGCGCGACATTTGGGAGGCCGCGAGGGAACGAAACCCAAGCGCGCAAGACGCTACTATCGCATCACGTTCGGCGATCGGGGGACCTCAATGGGCCCGCACCAAAGGTCACTCCGGCGAAGGGTCACTCTTTCGCCTAGTCGAAAGAAGCACATCAGGTCTCGGCCTACCTTGCTGGCGCACGTCCAACCTGCCTGTCTGGACCACCACGTCGCGGGGGGGGCTCCTTCTGCGCCAAAGAGAGCTCGAAGACGGCTTCGTCGGGCACAGCAGGGCAGAACAGGCTGCACGTCAGACACTGGAGGCATCCTGGGTAGGGTCGGAGCAGATGGGGTCGGAGGATCGCGCCGCATCGCCAGTGCGTCGGCGATGCATCGCCGATGCATCGCCGACGTCGGCGACGCATCGTCGACGTGAAGCCAATCGGGCCCCACATCGAGCCGCATCGGCGATGCACTGGCGATGCGGCGCGATCCTCCGAGCCCATCTGCTCGGACCCCACCCGGGAGGCCTGGACACATGAGGTCCGAGGACATTGCCGGCCAGACAAAACTGTACATGAGGTACCGTCGGGGCGTTGACCTAAGGAACCCTAAATAAGGAACGAGGCCCCTATTTTTCCTATAAGTTAACCTTCGATTTCCTGTCGAAAACATAAGGACAGCCTGAGGCAAGCTGTGAAACACTTGAAGGAACGCGGAGCCCCTCCCCAACGAAAAGGGTTCCTTCTTCAGGGCCCCGACTGCAAGGGGAGGTTGCCGGCCTGACAGGATCCCGGATCGCCGACGGTCTGACTTTTCCATCGAGCGGGTTCTCCTTGACTTCGGCCCCCGCAGGCGCCGCTGTCGGGCTCCATAGTAACTTTCACCAAAGCCGCTGCCGAGCCCCGTTGGGCCCCCCTGGAGTGCAACAGGTGGGAGAGGTATGGAACACCTTAGATTGAGCCAAACAGATCTCCTATTTCCTCTGTTACCTCTTCTCCTGCTCCTTACTAGTGTTGCCGTTGCTTCTGTTGTTGCCCGGCTCCAGGACCACCAGAACTCGGCGCGGGGCAAATGTTCGCGTTCGCGGACCCGCCGCCAGGGGGACCCCGCGCCGATCCCATGCTGGGCCTGCTTTCACCACCACCACCACTACCGTAAGTTGGAGGGGGAAAGGAGGAGGAGGAGGACGAAGAGGAGGAGGAGGAGGACGAAGGGGAGGAGGAGGAGGAGGAGGAGGAGGAGGAGGAGGAGGAGGAGGAGGAGGAGGAGGAGGAGGAGGAGGAGGAGGAGGACGAGGAGGCGGAGGAGGTGGAGGACCCCCTCCCCCCCAACTCATGGTGCATCATCCCAGGAATCCTCGCGGAGCTCCGAAAACTTCTCCTCGTGCCCTTCTCTTCCTCCTCCGAGGGCAGCGGCCGGGACCCCTCGGGCCGCGGCTGCGGAAGCGTCGGACCGGCGGACGTCAGGGACCGGACGCCGCGCAGGAGAGCAGGTGCCGAGCCGCTCTGGCTCTCGAGCCGCGCGGCGGTACGGAGAGGGCCGGCGGCGAGGGGGAGCGACGAGCGGCGGAGGCGGAGGCGGAGGAGGAGGGCGGAGGAGGAGGAGGAGGATGAGGAGGAGGAGGAGGGAGGAGGGAAGAGGAGGAGGAGGAGGAGGAGGAGGAGGAGGGAGGAGGAGGAGGAGACGGAGGCGGAGGCGGAGGCGGAGGAGGAGGAGGAGGAGGCGGCGGCGGCGGCGGCGGCGGAGGAGGGAGAGAGCTCGAGGGCTGCAGCCCCCGGGAGGAGCCAGAGGTCCGCAGCCCTCGGAGCTCGGTGGAGGGGCCCCAGGGCGAGAGCTGCACGCGAGGACTCGTGAGCAGCACAAGGCTGTCGCCAACGACGACGACGACGACGAAAACCATGCCGACGCCGGCGGCGACCACGACGCCCACGACGACGACGACGACCACGACGACGACCACGACCACGACGACCACGACCACGGCTTCGCCGACGACCACGGCGACGGCGGCGGCGGCGGTGCCGACGACAACGACGACGACGACGACCACGACGTCGAGTACGCCGACGACGACGACGACGACCACGACGACGACGACGACGACGACCACGACGACCACGACCACGACGACGACGACGGCCACGCCGATGACGACGACGACGAGGTTGCCGCCGACGCCGACGGCCAAGACGACCACCACGCCGACGACCACGACGACGACCACCACGACGACGGCAACGACCACGACAACGACGACGACGACGACGCCGGCACGCCGACGACGACGACGACGACGATCACGACGACGACCACGACGACGAACACGACGACGACGACCACGACGACGCCGACTATGACGACGACAAACACGACGACGACCACGACGACGCCGCCGACAGCGAAGGCGACGACGACGACGCCGACGACGCCGATGGCCACGCCGACAACGACGACGGGGGCTGGCCTCAGGTCGCTGAAGAAGCGCACGGACCGCAACACCCGCAGGAGGCGAACGAGGCGGAACACGCGCAGGATGCGCCTCGGCTCGTCGTCGTCACTGGCCACTCGTCAAGAGGGCTCCCAAGAGGCCTCAGGCCTCCAAGAGGCCCCCAGGAAGCTCCCAGGAGGCCAGGGAGAGTGCCCCAAGTGGCTCCCAAGAGGCCTCCTCCTCCTCCTGCTCCTCCTCCTGCTCCTCCTTTTCATCATCCTTCTCTTCCTGCCCCACCTGTTCCCCGAAGGGTTTCCACAACGGCTGGTTGAACGCATGGCCCAGTAGCGTGCCCAAACAGTTCCCGAACGGTTGGCCACACAGGCGTGTCCTAGAAAGCAGGAGAAGGCGGTGATTCGCCGTAGGTGTCTTCGATTCAGAAACCTTTTGCGGGGATGCGGAAGCCTTCAAGATCGTGCGAGCAAGCCCATCGACGCTTTCTCGAACAGCGCGAAACTTCCCAGAATGTCCTTTTGGTCGACCTCCATTTTCTCCTCCTCTGCCATGTCTTCCTCATCCCTCCCCATCCTCCTCCCTCCACGCCGACGCCGACGCCGACGACGCCGACGCCGCCGACGGCGGCGGCGGCGGTGGCGACGGCAGCGACGTTGGCGACGGCGGCGGCCGTCTTTGGGGAATTTCAGCCCGTCTTAGAGGCCTCTGGCGCCGTCTTGAGATGTCGGAAGCCCGAACAGGCGGGAACGCGGAAAATATTGAAATACCCCCTTGGTAAATACTTGAGTTGGGCTTCGTCGGAACCGCTTGGAGGCCTCGTGGAACCCTCTTGAGCTGCACCGAAGGCCTCTCGAGGAGACGACACCGACAACGACAACGACAGCGGCGGCCAAGGCGGACGGCATTTTCGCGGACCAGCGCTGCCGGCCGAGGGGCCAGCGTGTAGGCCATGCCGAAACCCTCCAGGAAGACCTGGGGGCATCCAAGGGCGGCAACACTTCGCCACCGACGTCATCGTCTTCGTCGCCGTCGCCGTACTCGTGGTCGTCGCCGCCGTCGTCGTCGTCGTCGCCGTGTTGTCGTCGTCGTTGTCGTCGTCGCCGTCGCCGCCGTCGTCGCCGCCGTCGACGTCGTCGTCTTCGTCCTCGTCGTCGCCGCCGTGGTCGTCATCGTCGTCAACATCGTCGTCGTCGTCGCCGTCGCCGTCGCTGCCGTCGCCGTCGTCGTCATCGTCCACGTCGCCGCCGCCATCGTCGCCGCCATCGTCGTCTTCGTCGTCGTCGCCGCCGTCGTCGTCGTCATCGTGGTGGTCGCCGTCGTCGTCGTCGCCGTCTCTGCCGTCGCCATCGTCGTCGTCGCCGTCGCCGTCACTGTCGCCGCCGTCGCCGTCGTCGTCGTCGCCGCCGCGGTCGCTGCCTTCAGCGTCATCGTCGAGGCCGTCGCCGTCGTCGGCTGTCGTCGTCGTCGTCGTAGTCGATGTCGTCGCCGTCTACGGTGACGACGACGGCGGCGACGGTGGCGACGACGGCGGAGACGACGTCGCCGCCGTCGCCGACGTCGTCGTCGTGGCCGAGGCCGTCGTCGTCGTCGTCACCGTCGTCGTCGCCGTCGTCACCGTCGTCGTCGCCGCCGCCGCCGCCAAAGCCGTCGCCGTCGTCGTCGTGGTCGTCTTCGTCGCCGTCAACGCAGTCGTCGTCGTCCGTCGTCGTCGTCGTCGTCGTCGTCGTCGTCGTCGTCGTCGTCGTCGTCTTCGCCGCCGTCGTCGCCGCCGTCGTCGTCGTCGTCGTCTTCGTCGCCGTCGCCATCGTCGTCGTCGTCGTCGACGCCGTCGTCGTCGTCATCGTCGCCGTCGTTGTCGTCGTCGTGGTCGTCGGCGTCGCCGTCGCCAACGTCGTGCTCGCCGCAATGGCCGTCGAAACCGTCGTCGTCGTCGACTCCGTCGCCGTCGTCGTCGTTGTCATTTTCGCCGTCGTCAACGCCGCCGCCATCGTGGCCAGGTCGCCGACGTCGTCGTCGTGGCCGAGGCCGTCGTCGTCGTCGTCGCCGTCGTCGTCGTCGTCGTCGCCGCTGCCGCCATCGCCGTCGTCGTCGTCGCCGCCGTCGACGCCGCCGTCGTCGTCGTAGTCGTCACCGTCGCCGTCGCCGTCGTCTTCGTCGTCGACGTCGTCGTCGCCGTCGTCGTTGTCGTCTGTATCATCGTCGTCGTCGCCGTCGCCGTCGTCGTCGTCGTCGTCGTCTTCGTCCGCCCACGTCGTCATCGCCGCCGCCACCGTCGTCGTACTCGTCATCGTCGCCGCCGTCGTTGTCGTCATCGTCGTCGCGCCGTCGTCGTCGTCGCCGTCGTCGTCGCCGTCGCTGTCGCCGCCGTCGTCGTCGTCGCCGTCCCCGCCGTCGTCGTCGTCGCGGTCGTCGTCGTCGTCGTCGTTGTCGTTATCGTCGTCGTCGAGGCCGTCGCCGTGGGCGGCCGCCGTCGTCGTCGTCGTCGTCGTCGTCGTCGACGCCGTCGTCGTCATCGTCGTCGCCGTCGTCGTCGCCGCCGTCGCCCTCGTCGTCGTCGCTGCCGTCGTCGCCGTGGCCGTCGTCGTCGCCGCCGTCGTCGACGTCGTCGTCATCGTCGACGCCGTCGCCGTCGTCGTCCGTCGTCGTGGTCGACGTCGTCGAAATCCGTCGCCACCGTTGTCGCCGTCGCCGTCGACGTCGCCGACGTCGCCGTCGTCATCGTCGCCGCCGCCGCCGCCATCGCCGTCGTGGTCGTCGTCGTCGTCGCCGTCGAAGTCGTCGTCATCGTCGTCGACGTCGTCGTCGTCGCCGTCGTCGTCGCAGCCGTTGCCGTCGGCGCCGTCGTCGCCCTCCGTCGCCACCGTCCTCGTCGTCGTCGACGTCGTCGTCGTTGTCGTCGTCACCGTCGTGGTCGACGGCGTCGCCGCCGCCGTCGTCATCGTCCTCGCCACCATCGCCGTCGAAGCCGTCGTCGTCGTCGTCGTCGTCGTCGTCGTCGTCGTCGTCGTCCTCGTCGTCGTCGTCGTCGTCATCGTCGTCGTCTCCATCGTCTTCGTCGTCGTCGCCGCCACCGCCATCGTCATCATCGTCGTCGACGTCGTCGCCCGTCGCCGTCGTCCTTGTCGTCGTCGTCATCCGCTGACGTCGTCGTCGTCGCCGTGGTCGTCATCGTCGAGGCCGTGGCCGTCGTCGGCCGTCGTCGTTATCGTCACCGTCATCGTAGTCGTCGTCGTCGTCGTCGTCGTCGTCGTCGTCGTCGTCGTCCGTCGTCGTCGTCGTCGTCGTCGTCGTTGTCGTCGGCACCGCCGCCGCCGTCGTCGTCGTCGTCGTCGTCGTCCGTCGTCGTCGTCGTCGTCGTCGTCGTCGTCGTCCGTCGTCGCCGTCGCCGAAGGGGCGGCGGCCTCTGCCGCGGTCTGCGTGGTCGACGTCGTCGTCGTCGCCGCCGCCGTCGTCGCAGCCGTCGCCGTCGTGGCAGCCGTCGGCGTCGTCGCCGTCGTCGACGTCGTGGCGGTCGTCGCCGTCGAAACCGCCGTCGTCATCGTCTCCGTCGCCGTCGTCGTCTTCGCCGCCGTCGTCGCCGCCGTCGTCGTCAACGTCGACGTCGTCTTCGTCGCCGTCGTCGCTGTCGTCGTCGTCGTCGTCGCCGCCGCCGCCACCACCGTCATCAACGTCGTCGTCGTCGCCGTGGTCGCTGTCGCTGCGGCCAACGTCATCGTTGTCGTCGTGGCCGGGGTCGTTGCCGTCGTCAACGTCGACGCAAACGTCGCCGTCGTCGTCGCCGTCGTCGTCATCGTCGCCATCGTCGTCGTCGTCGTCGATGCCGTCGCCGTCGCCGTCGTCGTCATTGTCGCAAACGTCGCCGTCGTCGTCGCAGTCGTCGTCGTCGGCGGCGTCGACGTCGTCGTCGTCTTCGCCGACGTCGCCGTCGCCGTGGTCGTCGCCGTCGTCGTCGTCGTCGCCGACGTCGCCGTCGTCGCCGTCGTCGCCGTTGCCATCATCGTCGTCGTCGTTGCCGTCACCGTCATCGAACTCGTCGCCGTCGTCCGCCACCGTCGTCGTCGTCGCCGTCGCCGTC